CGGATTCCTTGACCCCGCGCTGGACATCCTGCCCCTCGCGCGCTCCACGCGCCAGGGAGAAGGGTCCAGCGCCGACCCAAGAAATCTGCGCGGACCTCTTAAAGTTTACGTTTATGCAGATCATGGATGAGGTCCATACTGCTCGGTGAAGGTCCGCATGAACTGCGGAAAGCAAGGAAGGGGTCTCACGCACGACATAGTGATCCTACGCGGAGGCTTTCGCGTGAAGCCAACGCGGCACACGACGTCGAAAAGAAGGCGCTTACGCGCGACCTTACGCGGGCAGCCTGCGCGCGAATGTTTGCGCAGTCGGCCCTGTGTTCTACGTCGGCCAGCTGCCCACTGCGAGGTCCTCTATCCAGGATCACTACACCATCACATTGTCCGATCAGGCTGGTATCCCCAATCAGAGCTTGCCTCTGTAGGGGTCCTAGCGGATTCATATGGTTAGGTGAGGTGGGCCGCCGATTTCGGCGGCACGCCCGGGTGCCCGGGTGCCCGGGTGCCCAGGTGCCCAGTAGCCCTATAGCCCTATAGCCTTATAGCCTTATAGCCCGATAGCCCTATATCCCTATAGCACTATAGCCCTACAGCCCTAGGTTGTGCTGGAGGTCGTGCTGGAGGTTGTGCTGGAGGTTGTGCTGGAGGTTGTGCTGGAGGTTGTGCTGGTGGTTGTGCTGCAGGTTGTGCTGGAGGTTGTGCTGGAGGATGCGCTGGAGGTTGTGCTGGAGGTCGTGCTGGAGGTCGTGCTGGAGGTTGTGCTGGAGGTTGTCCTGGAGGTTGTGCTGGCGGTTGTGCTGGAGGTTGTGCTGGAGGTTGTGCTGGAGGTTGTGTTGGAGGTTGTGCAGGAGGTTGTGCTGGAGGTTGTGGTGGAGGTTGTGCTGGAGGTTGTGCTGGAGATTGTGCTGGTGGTTGTGCTGGAGGTTGTGCTGGCGGTTGTGCTGGAGGTTGTGCTGGAGGATGTGCTGGAGGTTGTGCTGGAGGTTGTGCTGAAGGTTGTGCTGGAGGTGGTGCTGGAGGTTGTGCTGGAGGTTGTGCAGGAGGTTGTGCTGGAGGTTGTAGTGGAGGTTGTGCTGGAGGTTGTGTTGGAGGTTGTGCAGGAGGTTGTGCTGGAGGTTGTGCTGGAGGTTGTGCTGGAGGTTGTGCTGGAGATTGTGCTGGTGGTTGTGCTGGGGGATTGTGCTGGGGGGTTGTGATGGAGGTTGTGCTGAGGGGTTGTGCTGGGGGGTTGTGCTGGAGGTCGTGCTGGAGGTTGTGCTGGAGGTTGTGCTGGAGGTTGTGCTGGAGGTTGTGCTGGTGGTTGTGCTGCAGGTTGTGCTGGAGGATGTGCTGATGGTTGTGCTGGAGGTTGTGCTGGAGGTTGTGCTGATGGTTGTGATGGAGGTTGTGCTGGAGGTTGTGCTGGAGATTGTGCTGGTGGTTGTGCTGGAGGTTGTGCTGGAGGTTGTGCTGGAGGTTGTGCTCGAGGTTGTGCTGGAGGTTGTGCTGGGGGTTTGTGCTGGATGGAGGTTGTGCTGGAGGTTGTGCTGGAGGTTGTGCTGGAGGTTGTGCTGAAGGTTGTGCTGGAGGTTGTGCTGGAGGTTGTGCTGGAGGTTGTGCTGGAGGTTGTGCTGGAGGTTGTGCTGGAGGTTGTTCTGGAGGTTGTGCTGGAGGTTGTGCTGGAGGTTGTGCTGGAGGTTGTGCTGGTGGTTGCGATGGAGGTTGTGCTGGAGATTGTGCTGGAGGTTGCGCTGGAGGTTGTGAGGTTATGCTGGAGGTTGTGCTGGAGGTAGTGCTGGAGGTCGTGAGGGGTTCCGAACGGTCATTCACTGTCCCTGGGTGTGTGGCTGAAGTGGGCCCCTCGGCCGGAAGTAACTTCTATCACCGCAGCACCCTCCCGCCGTTATTGTATTCACTCAACGAAAGGTGTCTCGACCGGATCCGACTTAAATCCCACGAGCCCTCTGGGCGTAGGTGGTTTAGAGAGTTTCCTCTTCCATCTTCCCTTCTTCCCCTTCGGCCCCCTGGACCTGGACAACCTCCAGCACAACCTCCAGCACAACCACCTCCAGCACAACCTCCCGCACAACCTCCCGCACGACCACCGGCACAACCTCCAGCACGACCTCCAGCACAACCTCCAGCACAACCTCCAGCACAACCTCTAGCACAACCTCCAGCACAACCTCCAGCACAACCTCCAGCACAACCTCCAGCACGACCTCCAGCACAACCTCCAGCACCACTTCCAGCACCACCTCCAGCACAACCTCCAGCACAACTGCCAGCACAACCTCCAACACAACCTCCAGCACGACCCCCAGCACAACCTCCTGCACAACCTCCAGCACAACCTCCTGCACAACCTCCCGCACAACCTCCCGCACAACCTCCAGAACAACCTCCAGCGCAACCTCAAGCACCACCTCCACCACAACCTCCACCACAACCTCCCGCACAACCTCCAGCACTACCTCCAGCACAACCTCCAGCACAACCACCAGCAAAACACGACCAGCACAACCACCCTCATAACCACCAGCAGCAGCACAACCACCATCACAACCACCAGCGCACCCGCCAGCAGCACAATCGCCCGCACAACCACCAGCACAACCACCTGCTCAGCCACCGGCACAACCACCAGCACAACCACGAGCACAACCACCGGCACAACCACCAGCAGCACAACCGCCACCAGCACAACCACCAGCACGACGACCAGCACTACCACCAGCGCAACAACCAGCACAACCACCAGCAGCACAACCGCCACCAGCACAACCACCAGCGAGATACCCGAGATTTCCTGACAGGCGCCATGGGGGGGGGGCGGGCCGCTCGCGCGCCAACCACAGTGGCAGATACGGAGATACGCAGATACCAGATACGCCAGTCAGTCGCGCCAGGGGGGGGGAGGGGGGGGGGCAGGACTTCCACCGAATATTAAAAATAGATATTAAAAAACGCCGACCGGTTGTGCTGAGGGGTTGTGCTGGGGGGTTGTGCTGTGGGGTTTTGCTGAGGGGTTGTGCTGAGGGGTTGTGCTGAGGGGTTGGGCTGGGGGGTGGTGCTGGGGGGTTGTGCTGAGGTGTTGTGCTGAGGGGTTATGCTGAGAGGTTGTGCTGAGGGGTTGTGCTGAGGGGTTGTGCTGAGGGGTTGTGCTGGGGGGTTGTGCTGAGTGGTTGTGCTGCGGGGTTGTGCTGGGGGTCTGTGCTGAGGGGTTGTGCGCTGAGGGTGCTGTGTGGGGGTTGTGCTGAGGTTGAGGGGTTGTGCTGGGGGTTGTGCTGAGGGGTTTGTGCTGAGTGCTGTGTGCTGCTGTGCTGCTGCTGGAGGGTTGTGCTGAGGGATTGTGGTGTGCTGACTGAGGGGTTGTGCTGCTGAGGGGGGTTGTGCTGGGGGGTTGTGCTGAGGGGTTGTGCTGAGGGGTTGTGCTGGTGGGTTGTGCTGGGGGGTTGTGCTGGGGTGTTGTGCTGGGGGGTTGTGCTGAGGGGTTGTGCTGAGAGATTGTGATGGGAGGTTGTGCTGAGGGGTTGTGCTGGGGGGTTGTGCTGAGGGGTTGTGCTGTGGGGTTGTGCTGAGGGGTTGTGCTGAGGGGTTGTGCTGAGGGGTTGGGCTGGGGGGTGGTGCTGGGGGGTTGTGCTGAGGGGTTGTGCTGAGGGGTTGTGCTGAGGGGTTGTGCAGTGGGGTGGTGCTGAGGGGTTGTGCTGGGGGGTTGTGCTGAGGGGTTGTGCTGGGGGGTTGTGCTGGGGGGTTGTGCTGAGGGGTTGTGCTGCCCCCCAGCACAACCCCTCTCCAGCACTTAATGAATCGATCCCAGCTTAAGAAATCGGTCCCAGCTTGTTTGAATTTCCTATTTTATTTTAAGAAATTCTGAGACCCAGCTCAAAAAAGTGAGTTTCTTAACAGACAATATGAGTGTAGGTGGACGACGGCTGGTGTATGGCTCAATCGTTTGAACTATCGTATCTACGCCTGACGGGCGCACCGATGGGCTGGAATTGATAGCCACGTGCGTTCCATGGTTCGACCCCCCCGCATGCCGTCTTGGCCAGCCTCCGTGACTCCGTCTGCAGAGCCTCCTCTGTGATACCTGGCGCTGATTCTGTCGGCCGCACGCTGTCTGCCCGGAAGCTTGCCCGTGGCGCCCTCGCGCAGTACTGGCACATGGGCTCGCTCGCCTCCGAAATTACCAGCCTGGAACATATCCCTATCCCTATGCTGGGCACCTCCTCATCACGATGCCAATCTTAGGGATTTCCTTATGTTTTGAGGGCGAATCCCTAAGATTGTCATCGCCTTTTGGCGTGTCAATCTTAGGGATAGGGATACGTTCGAGGCTGGTAACGAAAGGCGCGCGCCTCGCTCCTTCGCGCGACGTGCTCGTGGTAGGCGGTGCCCTCAGAAGAGGCCAAGTCCAGAAGAAGCCCAGACGGAGGCCGAGCACTCCGTGCCGACTCACTCCGCACCGACTCGGCATCCGACCAGGAGAGGCCCGTGTCCAGAAAGAGCATGCCAAGACGGAGGCCAAGAACTCCGCGCGGACTTACTCCGCACGGACTCAGCGTCCGATCAGGAGAGGCTCGTGTCCACAGGGAGCAAGCCCAGACGGAGACCGAGCACTCCGTACGGATTTACTCCGCATGGCCCTGGCAAGCTGCGAGTGCCTGCGTCCGAGCGCACCCTCGGCTGGGCCAGAGGGCCAGCCCCAACACCGGGGCGGCCGAGGCCCTGCCGCGAAGCCCGGCAAGCCGCGCAGCAGCTCCCAGACCCGGGTCGGCGGCGGGGGGGGGAGGGAAGGGGAGACTCGGCCTCACGTGAACCCCAGGCCCGGGTCAGCCAGAGGGGATTGGCCGACCCCCGTCACATCAGCCCCGAGCAGAGCCCTCTGAGGAGCCTGCGGGGCGGGAGGAGAGCGAGGCAGAAGGAGCGCTGACCCCGGTTTGCGTGAGCCCCGGGGCAGCAGGAGCCCTGCTCGGCCGGGAGGCTAGCCCCTCAGAGGGGGGGCGGCGGGACGGCGGCGGCCAAGCAGATGGCGCCCAGGGCCGGGAGCGCGGGGTCACCAGGACATCCTCGGGGAGGGTCAGTGGGGGGACTGGATGAGGTAGGCAGGAAGGGGGTGCGACAGCGATAGGTGAACAAACAACTACATAAACATAAGCGTTCGCGGGTCCGCGCGGGTTCTCGGATCGGCTCTGGGGCCCCCATGGCAGCACCTCATGGGCCGCCCCTGGCGCGCCCCGCGCGCTAGAGGGGGTTCAACGCCGATCCCTGCAATCCGCGCGGACCTGCGACAATTGATATCTATGCCAGTACTTGTTCCCCGAGGAAGGTGTTCCGACAGCGATGATGCCCCTCATCTCTTGCCCATGTTGTGTCCTCTCAGAGGCGCAGATGCATCGTAGCGAGCATGCACGTGCAAAGTGCTGTCGCGGCCCATACAAGCAAAGGCCCGTGCTCGTTTATGTGTTAATGCACCCATCTGGAAACTGGCTACGATGGATATGGACATTCGCGCGCGCGTAGGCCGCATGATGGCATTTGAAAAAGATGGTACCCGTTTGGTACCGCGCGCGTGGCCCGCATGGTGTTACTCGACAATTCAAGCGGCCTGTGACGGATCCGGCCTGCACAGGCTTGAGCGCAAGGGTCAGCAGGACCAAGACTGGGCCAGTGAGGGGCAGTGGAGATGAGCGGGGAAGGGGCGGGGGGGAGGCGTGTAGGGGGAGGCGAGGGCGAAGGGGATGGGAATCGAGGATGGGAAGTAGCAGGATGGTTGGGGGGAGAGGGAGCGGGATGGCGGAGTGGGGGAGAAAGAGTAAAGCAGCCATGCGCCAGCCTATGGTACGGCGCCTCGGCAAGATACAAAATTAAAGGAGAGAAGGGAAGTGAGGGAAAAAAGGGAGGGAAAGGGGAATCGGCAATTGATGGAAAAGGAAGGGGAGCGCACTCCATGGGGGGGGGCGCAAAGCGAAGGCAGAAGAATGAGGGTTGCACTCAGCGTGCGGTGAATCGCCCCAGAATCCCATTCCTGGCGATCTCATGCCGCACACTCACGCAACACGTGAAGGACGCAGTACGTGAAGGACGCACTCGCTGTGAATAGCAAAACGTCGACACCACTCAAGATACATACTTGTAAGCACAGCAAATATAGAAACGCACTGTCAAGTCCAGAGCCGGCGAGGGCACGCATAAACCCACCTGAGAAACATTCGAAATGCGAAACCCCACACGCAAGAATACGCGGCATCAAAACGATCAAAATGTGGGAGCGAAACGACCGTGGACTTCAAACTGATGTTCTGACTTCGAAAGTGTAACCAGAAAACCTTTGCGAGATCCTTGGTCTGCTTAAAGCTGTCACAAAGAGCGTATCAAGAGGGGCCACAGACTTCCCGAGAGGGTCCAAGACCGCCCCAAAGAGTCCAGCGTGCTCTAAGACGACCCCAGACGACCCACGACATACCACAACGGTTCCCGGACCTTCAAAGGACGCGAAGGTGGCCCAAAGAAGGCCCCACGGAAGCCACAAAGAGCCCAAGGGAGTCCCAGACACCCCCGGTCGGACCGTACAGAGCGCCAACACACCGACGCATCGGCAACGGGCTCGCATTACCAAAGCTCCTCATCCTCGTCGTCCTCACTCCTCCTCCCCCTCCTCTTCTTTTTGACTGGGGTGCTCTTGGGGACGGGCCTCTGGACCACACATCACCTCAGCAAAACTGGTCAATCCTGCTCTCGCACGGGTTTTCCCGCGTACGGATTCTCACCGTCCAGGATTCTATCACGATAGAGTTTCCGCCTCTGATGGGCGACAATACCCTTCTTCAAAGGGCCCTCGCATTCCCGCAACAACTTCTGGGCTCGGGAACGGGCGAAAGCCCCACAAATTCGGCACACAGCATATCCCACCTTCTCAACCACTTCGTGTTCCCGAGGTGGGGGCGGAGGTGAAACCTGGGACCCAGACCCCCTCGCTGCCGCAGCCCTCTCAGCCGCAGCTGCACGGATCTGGTCCGTCAAACAATCACCGTGGACCAGGGCCTTGACTTTCAAACGGGCCATGCCTTCTGAAATGGCTCCCCCCCCATCCTGGGCACAACTCCCGCTTGGCCATGCTGAGACGAGAGCCCACGCGGACGAGGCGAGAGCAATCCAGACACTGCCACTTACCACCTTCAAGGAGCCTAAAACGATGGGCCCGCTCAGGCGCGACTGCCAAAGGGCGGGCAATACGTTCGCTCCTCCGAGCCCGACCAGCAGGGGACGGCAGGCTCGCGGTGGTGGCTTTGGCTTCGCTAAGATCTACTCGGAAAGACGCTGCATACTGTAGCAGCCGCTTCTGAAATTTAAGACACTGCTTGACATGTTCCACCTTCCACTTTGGGGCGGCGCAGGGATCTGCTCCCTCTCTTGCACGAGCATCAGCACACCCATCATTTCAAAACGCACAAGACTCTCACCCGAAAGACTGGCTCTTTGGGTCTTGGCCATGTGAGACTTAATCTTGACTACCTGAAGGGATTCCCCTGGGATAAGACACTGATCCTCCAGGGCATCCCAAACACGCTTCCACAGGTGCGCGGTTATCTGCTCGCTAGCCACACAAAATTCTCTGCCCGCCAAGAGCCCCTGAACGACCTGTTTGCTATCAATCAGGAGCCCTACGAGCCCTACCGAGTGCTTCACAGCCTGGTAAACTGCCCAAATCTCACAGTGGGCCGACGTGGGCCTCGCAACTGGCACAGCACCGAACAAGGACTGAATCTCACTTTTCTTTTTCAGCGTTCCAGGTGATGGCGGCGAAGCCTCCCGTGGATAACTCCTCCACGTCGGGGGGCAGGACGCAGCCGTCCGTGGCCACCCAGCCCGACAACACCATCTCGCCGTCGGGGTCGCCCCACTGATACTCGTCGGGCGGCGTGGGCACCTGGTAGTCGGCCACGGGGTCCGCGATCAGGCCGCGAGCCCATTTCCAGAAAAGCGTGTCGCCGCCTCTGCAGCCCTGCTCCTCCTTCGTGGCGGCCGTCTCGCCCAAGTGCACCACGTCTCGAAAACTTGTCTTGAGGGTCGGCTCCGTGAGCCCATCACGAATCGTGACGCAAACACCTGCATCACAAAGAAAATACACATGCATCAAAGTGCCCTTCTGCTTGCCGCACAACGGGCACAGAGGGCTCGTGACCTGGCCGCGCTCGTAGCACACCGTCTGTACAGGGTAACCGCCTAGCGCGACCGCCCTGGCACTGTTGACGTGGTGCCTCGCCCAGGTCTCCGTGATCTTGGAGCGCATGAGCTGCTTGACTGGCAGCAAGAAAGGGCTGGGTCGGAGCGGCTGGCGCTCCTCATCAGCTAGCGCCCAGTCCATGAGCTTCTTCTTTGCGACAGAACGCAGGATCTCGAGGGGAGCGACCTCGCGGATGTCCCACTTGCCGTGGGCGCCGTCGAGGATGGTCCAGGCGTCCTGCATGTGCCATCCCAGCTCGTGCACCGTCAGAATGGTGGCAGCCGCTGGTCCCCGCACCATCTTCCAGGCGTCGAACTTGGCGGGGCCATAGGTGAGGGCACGCTGTACCTTGGGCCACTGACGGCCCCACGCGCGGGCCATCTCCTTCCGTCTCTCGGGCTGGCCCCAGGCCTCGCGCAGCCAAGCCCGAAGAGGGGCGAACCTGAGCTGCTCGGCGCCGTCCGTCCTCGGCGCGAGCGCCCAGCCCAACGTGCCCGAGCGAAATGTCCCAGCCCCCGCGCGCACGGCAGCTGTCTTGGCCGCGACGAACTTGAGGACGGCAGGAGGAGTGCCAGCGCAGGTCGCCCCGTACGCCACTGACGCTTTGAGGCCTTGCTGCACCACAGGGCGCACCCGCACCCCTCGGCGCTTGAGGGCAGCCGCTTTGTGCCAGCGGCCTCGGGCTGTCTTGGCCCGTCTGGCTCTGGTGGCCTTCTTCCGAGGGCCCTGAGGTTGGTAATCCACGCCCAACCAGCGCTCGCTCTCACCGTGCTGCAGGCCGATGTCCGCCATGGGCTGCGTCAGCTCCTGCGCCAAGGAGCCGTCGCTGGAGACGAACTTAGACTTGCCTCCCTCACCCTTCGAGACCTTGAGCTGCAGCAGCGACTCCAAAAGGCGGATGAGGGCGCGGACCAGGTCAGGGAAGATCACCTTCATCTGTGCGCTCCTGCCCACCAGCCGCAGGGCTAAGTCGTCCACAAACTTAGTGATATCCAGCTTTGCCCCTGGCCATCGGGCCACGACGTCCAGGATCGGAGACAGCACAATCTTCAAGAAACGATTGGCATACTTCGACCCAGCGGGCAGCCCCACGCAGGTACAGATGGCGTCGGCAACAGCCTGGCCCTTTCGGACCGCCCGAGGGAAAGCGTACGACTCCAGAGAAAGGGCCAAGACACTCATGGGTGCTTGCTGCACCAGGCCGAGAATCCAAATCAAGTTGAGCGCTATATATTCATAAGCCTTCTCCAGATCCATCAAAACGGTGAGGGACGAGAAACTGGTACCATCCAGAGCCTCGTCATCCAACATCGCTCGCCAAACAGCATGCTCACTGCTGCGTCCTGGTGCTGCCCAGTCGTAGGGCCTCGCGTGGGCCCGCTCCCACTGCCGAATCAAGGGATCACGCGCAGCCTCCCAGATGCGCACTGGCGTGGGAAAGAGGGTGATGGGCCTGCCGCCGCCGTCCTCCTTGGCGACCAGGAAAAGGATGAGCATGCGGATGGCCGTGGGCCACAAGCAGAGCCGCTCGCACAGCATGAGGATGCCCCCGAGGCTGGTCAAAGCCTCATCACTGAGCCAGGCCAGGTGCCCAAAGTGCCAGCCGTCGAGCCCGAGCCCAGTCTTCCATTTGTAGCTGCGGCAGATGGTGCGCACCTGCATCGCATCGATGATGGGCAGCTGCTGCGCATGGGCCAGCCGTTGGGTCTGGACCTGAGTGTCCTGCCACAGCTTGGTGTAGTCACCTGCCCCAGCGCGCCAGATGCTGGCCCACTCCTGCGCCTCCTGATTGACCGTTAGCTGCGGGTCCGCTGGCAGCTTCAGCTTCTTGACCGACGAGAT